ACAAAGAGTCAGACCCCCCCCCCTCAAATATGACGTCACAAAGCTCTGCCCCCCCACCCCCAAAATAAAACATGCTTCAAATCGCTTTAAACTATTGTCATTGTAGTGCATATTTAATGTGCCGCTGCACTCTGATGTTGTAGGAGAAAACATTTATCAAAAAGTATATTGAATTAAGTAGAACGTGTTGTCTATATTTATTTAAATTTGCGCATTTTGATGTGACGTCACATTTCTCAAACTCCCCCCCCCCTCGTCACACATCGTCACAAATGTCTGAACTCCCCCCCCCTACGTGCGTGACGTCATTTATGGACGTCCCCTAACTTACGAGTTGAGATAATCTGACACCCATACACCGCATCGTCCGGATTATACGACGCTCTTGTCAAGTGAGACGTACCCCCCCCCCCCCACAACGAGCTTGTGCTCGGTACAATGAAAGTTAAACAGATCTGGTTTCACACACAAACGCTCGCACCTTCCGGATTACACAACACGCACACGCAACGGGTGCTTTAAATTGCAGCGAGGGTTCGGGGAAAGCGCGTCTTCTAATCTGGAGAATTGGCTAACTAAGGCAAAGATCCCCCGTGTAGCCTGATCATGCTTGACCTCAGTTCTAGTGATGGGGCAAGTGCTGTTAGCGAGGACTTATCAAAGGCAGGCACGGGACACACGAGGTCGTGGGTGGTCAGCACCACGCCTGGGCCGTTTCCCCTCCTTTGCGGCGATGTCTACACACCGCGCCGAGTACAGTACTCATTTGAGGCTGAGTCGACTCAGGCGTGGCCCAGGACCGGTTCAGGTAATCGCCGCCGCGGTGTTGGCGGTGGTAGCGGGGATCGAACCCGGTTTGGTCGGGCTCGCGTCGCGGCGCGCTGACCACAAGCACGCACCCCTGCACCACCGCTCACCTCCACCCTACACAGACACACACACAGCGGTAAACACACGGGCACGCACGCACGCACGCACCTGCCGAATATATATATAATAACACGTGGGTACAAGTCTGCCAAATCGGAAAGGCGCTGGAACTTCGCGGAGAAATGTAACGATGCGGAACGGAGCTTGTACACGCACATGTTTGGGAAGGTGTTGATACCGGCGACTTTGGGGGGGATGCGGAGAGGATGGGGGAGGGGGGGGTTGCGGGTTTAACGCCACCCAACAGAGGCTGTAAATCGCTCCTAAACCCGAGGGCAGGACCGGCCGCGGCTTGGCGTTTCGTCTTCACAGTCCTCTGCCGGGAGGGAACTCGCATCACGTCAGGGGACGGTGTGTCCGAGCGAGAGCCACCACGTGACTTGCCGGCTTCTTAAACCGTGCGTGGAGCAGGTATCGAGATGATCGGTTTAACACGCAAGGAGGCTATCGCGTCCATATGAATGTGTCGTTAACCCCGCCACCACCCGACACAGCCAACTAGTAAGGTTTGCCACGTGTAAACAGAACGCGGCCAATTCGTTTCTAGCACAGCACACCTGTGTGTTAGAGAGCCAAGCCACAACATTTACAATCCGAGTACGACGTTTCCCCAGTAATTGCATCTAGCTTCGTCAGGCAACAGCCAGATTTGTGAAATCCTGTTTCGTTCCTTAAGAAGAGCGCACGAGTGACGTCACCACATCTACGCCTCTATTTAAGGAACCAATCAAAAAAACTTCCCCACAAATCTGCCTGTCGCCTGATGAATCTAGTTGCAACTACTGGCAAGACGTCGTACTCAGATTGTAAATGTTGTGGCTTGGCTCTCCAACACGCAACCGGTGTGGTGCTGTACTAGTATGCTACACTCTACACTACACACTAGTGCTGTTCTAGTGACGAATTGGCCACGTTCTGTTTACGTGACAACCAAAAAACACAAAAAAAAAACCCTGTTACAATATCGGTTGATATTCCAATATTCGCGTGAGCAACTGAATATTCTCTATGTATAATTAACATAGCCGAGATTCGCAACATGAAATCTCTTTAGAGTTTCCTTCGATATTGGTTGCTATTCAATCAATGATTTATCAGAACATGGTTAAAAATTTTAAGGTAACCATTTTGCCAGCTTGAATAAAAAGAAATGTTGTTACATTTGTCTGATATTCGAGACCTATTTGCAAAAGCAATGTAGCATGCTTATGTCTATAGACCCGAAACAAATATTTTTAGTAACGTTTTTTTCAAAGCGATATAATAAAATCACTTGTGACGTTAATATAATCGTTGAAAATAGAATCAAATCATCTCCTGCTCAAATCAGCACTGAGACGGCGATCAACTCCCGCGTATAGCCCTGAACCAACGGTATCATTTCCACAAATCCATGGAACAACCACCATTGACTTCTGCGCAAAGTGTTACTTATTTTGCCGACCGCAGAGGGATGATGGGCTGAGTCAACCACCATCCAAGGCTTGAACTCGCACACTTCCAATTGCGAGCAGCTTACTCTACCCAAGCCACCGGGTGCAACATAAACGTTTAAATATAGTCACGTATACAGTGTAGTCAACATGTGTAGTACAGTGTTTGGTTGAAAACGCATTTTTCTGGAACTGCTTTTAGGGTTTAGTTTGTTGCCCTTCCCCCGCACCTCCGATGAGCATGGTTGCCTACGGCACGAAATAAGTTTAACGTGTGCACATATGTAATGCGAGCGTAAGAGAGGTTTCGCCACTCAGCTCTGGGCCAATCGGATGCCCAGATGATCAGGGGCGGAGCGGGGGGGGCTAAGTGAAGGGCGTGATCTGGAAGGTTCGGACAGGGCGTGGTGGAAGGTGGAGACGGGATGACGAGAGGGGGGAATATAAGGGGGCAGGGGCGGTTTCTTCATTAGGGCGATTGGGCGACGCACCACCAATGTCATTCAACCACAGTCACGCTAGCCGTCACTGTGCCTCTGGATATAGTTCAATCAGCATCAGGTCACGTTCAGTGGAGTACCGCCTCTTTTTGGGCGATTTCACTCCAGCTGAGAATCGCCCCGAGTGGCCCCATAGACTTACATTCAAAGATGTTTTTTTTCGAACGGGGGGCGCTGCAATGCATTCTCTATGGCTTCCGGGAGGGATCGCACTAACGTGCTTACGTCATCATACGTAAGCACGTTTCATCCAATAATATAATTTGTCGCCACCTAGTGGAATCTTTAATAAAAGAAACTTGAGTGGATTGTATTAATAGTGAGTATAGAAACAAACAAGATGTATTGTAAGAGTCACTTTATCCTTATCAATCATCCAGACATTGCCCCCCCCCCCCCCCCCCCGAGAGATTTTGCATGAGCCGCCACTGTAAGGGGGGGGGGGGGGGGATCCGGAAGAGGCTCGAGGCAGTTGGGATAGACTCGAAGTGGGACCACGTCGAGCCGTGGGAGGTCTCCAGCGCCATCGGCCACGTGGCTGGAGACGGCTCCAAGCGCACCGTCAGCCAGCGCTGTGCGGGAGTGCGACCGACGGCAAGAGCGCGTGGGGGGCGCGCCAGCAGAACAGCCGGTCCACGATCAGGACCGGCTGAGTGAGCGTCAGTCCTTTATTTATACATGTATAACAAAAACACGTTTGTGTGTCGTTTGAAAACACGAATATTTATAGCAAACGCCTTGTGAACTCTTTTCCATCGGCATTGAGTCTCCGCCTGGGCCGCTCGTTATCCAACTTTCTCTTCCACAGCTCGGCGGGCGACAGAGGCACCAGCACGCCCGACGCATTCCACAGTTTTATGCGCAATTTCTTCTTCATCTTGCGCTTCTGGTTCTTTGGGAGCGTCGGCTTGCCGGTTTCCGCCACTGACACAACAACAACCACGTTATGTATCGGCATACATACCATGGTTGACCAATAGGTAGCCATCCCTTGATCGCACCCAGGCATCAATCAGCCTCCCATTATATCTGTACCAAATGGAAATTCCCCCAGTACAGCTATTGAAGGCTTCACGAACTACGCGGTCAAAATAGATGTTAAATAATGTGGGAGCCAGCAGACATCCCTGTCGCACCCCAAGGTGTACAGAGAAAGGCTCCGAATCCCGGCCACGTAGTTTTACCCGGGCCTGCTTGCCATCTTACACACACCGACACGCACACTGTGTGGTGGCGAGTCCGTGTGTCTGCGTGATGAGTTTATGGGCCTCTGTGTGGTGGTGAGTCAGTGTCTCTGCGTGATGATGACCGTTGGTGTTAGTCGACTGTGCTTCTCCATGCTGGTCAGTGCAAGTTGTTGAAGGTGGGGGGGGGGGGAGCATAGAAACACACTACAACAATGCATTTTGCTGCAGTGTCCTCTGCTACCTTCAACATCAGAAGCGTATCTGAAAGCACACGATGCAGTGACGCCTTTGTTCGGTGGTTAGCCAACAGCCGCCGCTGCGAGGATGAGCGGAGTTCGCGTGATGGTTTATGCTCCTTGACGAGATCAGTAGCGAGGTGTTGTGGGCTTTGTGTCGTCGCGTCACACCCACCTGGTCTGTGCAAGGAGTGCCTTTAGGCGCTCTTTACGACGTTGTTTGTCTTTTTCTTTCGCGCACGAGGGCGGGCAGCGACTTTCTCTTCCTTTGTTTTACGTCCGATTTCACCCTGACACAACAACTGTAGAGAAGGGAGGGAATGACTGTGGCCGAGAAGACCTGAAGCTTCGTGCGGAGCGACAGACCAGGTAGCGACCACACAGCGTTACGCAACCGATGAAAAGATATTTCCGCTCGACTGATTCGGAGCGAGATCTCTGCTGTTAAACTGGAGCCGGTCATAAGCACACTGCCCAGGTATGGGAAACTCTCCACTACTGCCCCATCACCGATTGTAAGTTGTGAGGGTGGAGTGTCCGATGGTATAAAATACCCAGGAAGGTGCTTAGTTTTGGTGGGGCTGATGGTAAGGCCCACCTCTTAGTGGCACGCTCCAGTCTCAGCAGCAGCGTCTCCAACTTATCCTATTACCAAATCATCGGCATACATAACGTGGTTGACCAATAGGGAGCCATCCCTTGATCGCACCTGGGGCATTGATCAGCCTCCCATTATATCTGTACCAAATGGAAATTTCCCCGTACAGCTATTGAAGGCTTCACGAACTAGGCGGTCAGAATAGATGTTAAATAACGTGGGAGCCAGAGGACATCCCTGTCGCACCCCAAGGTGTACAGGGAAAGGCTGCGACTCCGTCACGTAGTTTTACCCGGGCCCGTGCACCGACACGCATCGTGTGGGTGGCGAGTCTGATGGGTCTCGGAGGTGGCGAGTCTATGGTGTCTGTGTGCTGGAGAGTTTGTGTGGTGGCGAGTCTGTGGGGTGGTGAGCGTGGGTGTTAGTCGACTGCGCTTCTCCATGCTGGTCAGTGCAAGTTGTTGAAGGTGGGGGAGGGGGACCATAGAAACACACTACAACATTGTATTTTGCTGCAGTGCCCTCTGCTACCTTCAACGTGGCCTTTCAGTAGCCTATAACACTTGTTTTGTGTGTGGTGTTCACCCATCCAAGCCTTAGCTTCGGAGATCTGGTGATGTTAACAATTATTTATAATAAAAAAAACTGCTCACAAGCATGCATGTTGAACTTCTTTCACACCGTACGTAGCCAACCGTGCTAATCAGGAGGTGTGGGGAAAGGACAACAAAATAAAATGCAAAAACTGTACCGAAGAAATTAGTTTTCAATCTAGATTTAAAACTTAAAAGTAAAAAGGGGCATCCTAATATCGGAAGGGCAAATCCCAGACGATTGCAGAAGCGCATCTGAAAGCGCACGATGCAGCGACGCCTTTGTTCGGCGGTTTGCCAAAAGCCGCCGCTGCGACGATGAGCGCAGTTCGCGTGATGGTTGATGCTCCTTGACGAGACCAGCAGCGATGTGTCGTGGTTCATTTGTGACGAGTGTTTCGTGTCGTCACGGCACACGCACCTGGGCTGAGGATTGGGCCACTTGGGCCGCGCTCACCCATGTCAAAGTTTCTCTTGACTTGCCTGTACGCGTTCCACTGCATCCAGTACACACACACACGACTGATGAAGACCGGCATGGCACACGAGGGGGTGGGGGTATCCGGCACCACGCCCGGCTGTCCGCGTCTCCCTAGTGCTGATGTTTACACACCACACCTGGTAATCATTTAAGGGCCGAGTTGACCCGAGGGAGATCCACGACCGGTTCAGATATTTGTGACGGCGAGCGATGTACCTTCTAAGAGCTTGGAGACCTCCGCTCCGACATGGTCGAGGGAGCGTCGATCCCACTCCCTGGGTCTGCTCACCGCCCCGTGCCTCTCCGCGTGCGGAAGAACACAACGCTCACGTAACCACGAGCTTGCTCAGCCACTCATTCGTCTCGCCGCTTTAGATTTCCACGTAAGCCACATCGTTGAGCCGTCATGGATGGCCAGGTCACTTCTGAAGAAGAAATGTATAGCCCAGGGGACCTTACCTGGTAAAATGAAAATAGGTTTTTTAGTTTATATCCAGCAAGATTTAGTCAGTTATGCACTCGCTCATGCAACACTCATTCACGGATTCATTCCCACGCCCGTTCACTTCCTAAAGGACTCACTCAATCGCTTGTGGATGCACTCCTGGCCACTGCGCCACCGCTCTCTCCATACCGACGCACAAACACGTAAACAGCTACTTGGGCAAGTTGGCACAAGACAGAGGAAAGTGGAAACAAATGCTCAAGTCTGGCGAGGCTCTGGCTCCCGATCTTAAATAGAGCAGCAACAGGGTGACGTCATCATCTAACTAATCAGGTGCAACGATTTGAGGCGATGGGGGGGTATTGTAATTATTTACTAGATTAGTAATCGGGCAATTGTTGCGATGCGAGTTGTAGATTAGTAATCACTGTGTGCTGTCGTTGTACACTGACACACACACACGTGTACGTGTGTGTGAGTGACTACACACACGTACACGTGTGTCAGTGTGAATGTACTGCACACACACACACACGTGTGTGTGAGTTTGAGTGTGTGTAGTACACTCACACACACACGTACACGTGTGTCAGTGTGTAGTACACTCACACACACACGTACGTGTGTGGCGTACGACTGCACGCGCGCGTTGCGTCTCTGTAAATTGGTGTCTCGGCACGCGGCCTTGAATTAAAGCGGCGGTGATGATGTCACCGGGTGACGGAACGGTCGTGGCGGTGGAGGTGGCGGTGGAGGAGTTGGTGGAGGTGGTGGTGGAGGAGTTGGTGGAGGTGGTGGTGGAGGTGGGGGTGGTGGAGGAGTTGGTGGAGGTGGTGGTGGAGGAGTTGGTGGAGGTGGTGGTGGAGGTGGTGGAGGTGGTGGTGGCGGAGGTGGTGGATTGTGGTGGTGGAGGTGGGGGTGGTGGAGGAGTTGGTGGAGGTGGTGGTGGAGGTGATGGAGGTGGTGGTGGCGGATTGTGGTGGTGGTGGATTGTGGTGGTGGTGGATTGTGGTGGAGGTGGGGGTGATGGAGGAGTTGGTGGAGGTGGTGGTGGTGGAGGTGGTGGTGGCGGAGGTGGTGGATTGTGGTGGTGGTGGATTGTGGTGGAGGAGGTGGGGGTGGTGGAGGAGTTGGTGGAGGTGGAGGTGATGGTGGTGGCGGATTGTGGTGGAGGAGGTGGGGGTGGTGGAGGAGTTGATGGTGATGGAGGTGGTGGATTGTGGTGGTGGTGGTGGTGGAGGTGGAGGACCACCACTACCACCACCACTAATAATATCACCACCACCACTACCACCACCTCCGCCACCACAATCCACCACCAGCAGCTCGGAACACACATCGCATCGCAACAATTGCCTGATTACTAATCTAGTAAATAATTACAATACCCCCCCCATCGCCTCAAATCGTTGCAACCTGATTAGTTAATTGATGACGTCACCACCACCTCCACCACCACCTCCACCACCACCTCCACCAACTCCTCCACCGCCACCTCCACCGCCACGACCGTTCCTTCACCCGGTGACATCATCACCGCCGCTTTAATTCAAGGCCGCGTGCCTAGACACCAATTTACAGAGACGCAACGCGCGCGTGCAGTCGTACGCCACACACGCACGTGTGTGTGTGAGTGTACTACACACTGACACACGTGTACGTGTGTGTGTGAGTGTACTACACACACTCAAACTCACACACACGTGTGTGTGTGTGCAGTACATTCACACTGACACACGTGCACGTGTGTGTGTCAGTGTACAACGACAGCACACAGTGATGACTAATCTACAACTCGCATCGCAACAATTGCCTGATTACTAATCTAGTAAATAATTACAATACCCCCCCCCCCATCGCCTCAAATCGTTGCACCTGATTAGTTAATTGATGACGTCACCCTGCTGCTGCTCTATTTAAGATCGGGAGCCAGAGCAGAGCCTCGCCAGACTTGAGCGTTTGTTTCCACTTTCCTTTGTCGTGTGCCAACTTGCCCAAGTAGTTGTTTGTGTGTTTGTGCGTCGGTGTGGAGAGCAGTGGCCAGGAGTGCATCGACAAGCGATTGAGTGAGTCCTTAAGGGAGTAAACGGATGTGTGAATGAATGAGTGTTGCATGAGCGAATGTATAAATGAATGCATCTTGCTGGATATAAACTAAAAAAAAAAACTCTTTTTATTTTACCAGGTAAGGTCCCCTGGGCTATACAGCTCGTCTTCAGAAGTGACCTGGCCATCAATGGACAGCTCCAACGATGTGGCTTACGTGGAAATCTAAAGCAGTGAAATGAACGAGTGACTGAGTGGCTGAGCAAGCTCGTGGTTACGTGAGCGTTGTGTTCTTCCGCACGAGCAGAGGCACGGGGCGGTGAGCAGACCCAGGGAGTGGGATCGACGCTCCCTCGACCATGTCGGAGCAGAGGTCCCCAAGCTCTTAGAAGGTACATCGCTCGCCGTCACAAATATCTGAACCGGTCGTGGATCTCCCTCGGGTCCACTCGGCCCTTAAATGATTACCAGGTGTGGTGTGTAAACATCAGCACTAGGGAGACGCGGACAGCCGGGCGTGGTGCCGGATACCCACCCCCCCCCCCCCCCCCCCCCCCGTGTGCCATGCCGGTCTTCATCAGTCGTGTGTGTGTGTGTGTACTGGATGCAGTGGAACGCATACAGGAAAGTCCAGAGAAATTTCGACATGGGTGAGCGCGGCCCAATCCTCGGCCCAGGTGCGTGTGCCGTGACGACACGAAACACTCGTCACAAATGAACCACGACACATCGCTGCTGGTCTCGTCAAGGAGCATAAACCATCACGCGAACTGCGCTCATCGTCGCCGCGGCGACTTTTGGCTAGCCACCGAACAAAGGCGTCGCTGCATCGTGCGCTTTCGGATGCGCTTCTGCAATCGTCTGGGATTTGCCCTTCTGATATTAGGATGCCCCTTTAACTTTTCAGTTTTAAATATCGATTGGAAACTAATTCGGTACAGATTTTTTGCATTTATTTTGTTGTCATTTCCCCACACCTCCTAATTGGCACAGTTGGCTACGTACGGTGTGAAAGAAGTTCAACATACATGCTTGTGAGCAATTTTTTCAATTACAAATATTTGTTAACAGCACCCGATCTCCGAAGCTAAGGCTTGGATGGGTGAACACCACACACAAAACAAGTGTTATAGGCTACTGAAACGCAATGCTGAGGGTAGCAGAGGGCACTGCAGCAAAATACATTGCTGTAGTGTATTTCTATGCCCCCCCCACCTTCAACTTGCACTGACCAGCATGGAGAAGCACAGTCAACTAACACCCACGCCCCTCGCCACCACAGACCTACAGACTCGCCACCACAGACTCACCACCACACAGAGACCCATAGACTCGCCACCACACACAGACCCATAGACTCGCCACCACACAGACCCGTAGACTCGCCACCACACACAGACCCACAGACTCGCCACCAAACAGTGTGTGTGTCTGTGTGATGGTGAGTGGGCCCGGGTAAAACTACGTGACCGGGAGTCGGAGCCTTTCCCTGTACACTTGGGGTGCGACAGGGATGTCCTCTGGCTCCCACATTATTTAACATCTATTTTGACCGCTTCATTCGTGAAGCCTTCAATAGCTGTACCAAAGGAATTTCCATTTGGTACAGATATAATAGGAGGCTGATCGATGCCTTCGTGCGATCAAGGATTGGCTCCCTATTGGTCAACCACGCTATGTATGCCGATTTGGTAATAGGAGAAGTTGGAGACGCTGCTGCTGAGACTGGAGCGTGCCACTAAGAGGTGGGGCCTTACCATCGGCCCCACCAAAACTAAGCACCTGCCTGGGTATTTTGTACCATCGGACACTCCACCCCCACAACTCCCAATCGGTGATGGGGCAGTTGTGGAGAGAGTGGAGAGTTTCCCATACCTGGGCAGTGTGCTTATGACCGGCTCCAGTTTAACAGCAGAGGTCTCACTCCGAATCAGTTGCGCGGTATTATCTTTCCATCGGTTGCGTAACGCTGTGTGGTCGCTACCTGGTCTGTCGCTCCGCACGAAGCTTCAGGTCTTCTCGGCCACAGTCATTCCCTCCCTTCTCTACAGTTGTTGTTGTATCCGGGTGGAATTGGACGTAAAACAAAGGAAGAAGTCGCTGCCCGCCCTCATGCGCGAAAGAAAAGACAAAAACGTCGTAAAGAGCGCCTAAAGGCACTGCTTGCACAGACCAGGTGGGTGTGACGTGACAACACAAAGCCCACAACACCTCGCTACTGATCTCGTCAAGGAGCATAAACCATCACGCGAACTCCGCTCATCCTCGCAGCGGCGGCTGTTGGCTAACCACCGAACAAAGGCGTCACTGCATCGTGCGCTTTCAGATGCGCTTCTGATGTTGAAGGTAGCAGAGGGGACACTGCAGCAAAATGCATTGTTGTAGTGCGTTTCTATGCTCCCCCCCCCCCCCCCAACTTCAACAAATTGCACTGACCAGCATGGAGAAGCACAGTCGACTAACACCAACGCTCATCACGCAGAGACACTGACTCGCCACCACACAGACGCACAGACTCGCCACCACACAGAGGCCCATAGACTCATCATCACGCAGACACACGGACTTGCCACCACACAGTGTGCGTGTGTGTAAGATGGCAAGCGGGCCCGGGTAAAACTACGTGGCTGGGATTCGGAGCCTTTCTCTGTACACCTTGGTGCGACAGGGATGTCCGCTGGCTCCCACATTATTTAACATCTATTTTGACCGCGTAGTTCGTGAAGCCTTCAATAGCTGTACCGGGGGAATTTCCATTTGGTACAGATATAATGGGAGGCTGATCGATGCCCTGGTGCGATCAAGGGATGGCGCCCTATTGGTCCACCACGTTATATATGCCGATGCATAACGTGGTTGTTGTGTCAGGGTGGTGGAAACCGGCAAGCCGACGCTCCCAAAGAACCAGAAGCGCAAGATGAAGAAGAAATTGCGCATAAAGCTGAAGGCGTCGGGCGTGCAGGTGCCTCCGTCACACGCCGAGCTGCGGAAGAGAAAGTTGGATAAGGAGCGGCCCAAGCGGAGACTCTATGCCGATGGAAACAGAGTTCACAAGGCGTTCGTGTTATGTGTTTTTCAAACAACACACAAACGTACTTTTGTTATACATGTGTAATAAAGGACTCTGACGACACACAGCTTGGTCTCCGTCTGTCTTTATCCTTGTTACGCTGCTCACACTCCGCCGGTCCCGACCGTGGACCGGCTGT